TAGAAACATGCAGAGGCTTTTTAGGTCGGGTACAATCACTTCTATCTGAACCACTTCTCTTGACCGCTTCCATCGCTGCAACACCTGTTGACCTGATAACTGCTCTCATATCTGACAAACCGAGGGGCGTCCAAAACGGCCGTGTGGGGGGGTGTCTTAAAATCGCCTACCTTCTCTGGTCCAAACAAATCCAGAGCATTCAGGAGCAGAATCTAAAGTTAGAAGGAGGACATACTGGCTGCTGCATTGTTGTCAGAGAAGCCAGCACTTCAACATAGCATGTTTCCTTAATGATCAGATAGTAAGATACCTTTCACTCACTACACATCTCACTGATTGGACCTTAAATGTCTTTGTGACGTCTGCTCTTGAAGGGTTCTGTCATTTTACCTTATGAAACGAGAGATTCTGGTCTACCACTGCATCAAGTCGTTAGTTAGCCTGTGTCATTGTGTTGACTTGTTTATCTTTCTTTGCCTTTAGTGAAGACGGGGACAGTGGATAGAGGTGGAAAAAGGGAATGAGAGAGTTAACGTGTGTCATAACGGCCAGCTTACTCCCTGACGTCCCGTTGGTTTCTACAGTTCAAGTTCACACGTTTACAGTTTTTGGTGGCTTTGGAAAGAGTGATGTAACGGCTGTTTGTGATTAAAACACGTGGTTCATACTTCAACAGAAGTGTTAATCTCTTCAGGTATTTTTTTCTGTGATGTTGTCGGATACTTGGAATGAAAATCTGAACCTGTCGGTGACAAAACAGGGAACTTATACTCAAACACATACTGCCATAAATCCAGATTTTAAAGACCTGAATTCTCCTTCATAGCATGGATTACTTTCTGCTCATAACACCAACGCTGCTGCCTGTAATCTCTGATGCATTTGCAGTATTTCCTGCCACGGCTGTGTTCAGAAAACGATGCAGTAAGCTGCTGCAGTGAGTCACTAAACTTCCCTTTTTGTGCTTCAGTTTTATTTTTTTTGCCAGCTGAGGTTGTTACTGTACCATCGAGCTTACTTTACAGTTTTTATCTTTTCTGTACACGAGTTGGTTTCACACTGTGTGCAGGATTCATCCCTTCACAGACGTGTAAGACAACTGAGCCGAGGAAAGGGGGGGGGGGGGGCAGCGTGTCCTCATACGACCGTAATGAGAGCCGTAAACGTAGTTGATTTCTGAACTGTAAACGTTCTCGTGCTTTAACCAGGTTTAGTTTCCTGGAGGTGATGATCATAAGTGTAGCTGTGGATGATCCAGCTGTGGATCAGTGGTACAGTCGGTCGTCTCTCGTCAGGGGTTCGATCCCCAGCTCCTGCAGCCACGCGTCCGATGTGTCCTCAACAAGACACTAACCAAGGTGCTCCCGCTGCTTTGTCGGCGCCGTGTGAATGTGTGCGTGTGTGCGTGTGTGTGTGCGTGTGTGTGCGTGCGTGTGTGTGTGTGTTCATCGGAGGCTGAGCACAGTCAGGTGAAACGCAAAAGCAACGTCACGGCCCTGTCTCCAGGAAATGGTTGCCGGGGTAACAAGAGATGAGAGAGCAGAACAGGTGGCCCCAGTCGACCTCACTGAGTCACTGAAGTGTGCGTGTGTGTGTGTGTGTGTGTGTGTGTGTTGTGTGTGTGTGTGTGTGTGTGTGTGTGTTTGGGGGGAGGAGTAGAGATAAAACAGAAAGAGGAGCGAGGTGTGTTACTGTACAGCCTTCATAACATTTCATTCATGTGATTATGAGTGTGTGTGAAGATCACACATGCTGGTTTACAGTATCCTGTGTGTGTGTGTGTGTGTGTGTGTGCGCGTGCGCGTGCGCGTCTGCGTGCGTGTGTGCGTGTGTGTCTGTGTGCGTGTGTGTCTGTGTGTGTGTTTGCTGGATGGATTAAACACAGTCTTCTTAGGGGGACACATTTCAGACCACAGACGAGTTCATCGGGTCCAAAAAGCTGTTTTTAGGTTAAAGGTTGAATTGAAGCCACCTCTGTAGTTTTTTGTTTTTGTGACTCACCCTCCACGATGACCTCTACACTTTGTGTCATGGCGGTCCCCAGCATGTTGGAGGCGTAGCAGCGCCAGGTCCCGGCGTACGTTTCGAGGAATTCTGTCTTGTTTTCTTTCAGCGTCCCGGATCCTTCCCTCTCCGGCCCGAAAGTGTCCCCATCTTTTACCCAACGGTAACTACAGAGAGGAAGAAAGATGACGTCATCACGTCATCAAACATTTTAAATCAAACCGGGGCTTGATATCTTCACGGTTTTTGGTGTCTAAAACATCTTGTGAAGGTCGTCCTGTTTTCCCTCTCAGAACATCAGTTTCAGAAGACAGAATTTGGAATAATCGGACGTCATGTGTAACGCCAGGGGCTCAAGTGTTGGAACATAAATTTCAAAATAAAATAATTAAAGTTTGAGTTATGCAGAAAGAGAGGGGCAGGTGGGGGAGGGGGTGAGGTCAGAGAGGACAGGGAGGGCGGGTGGGGGAGGGAGGAAAAACAGAGAGACGATGATGATTCTGTTAAAAGTGTGATTTCATTAGGGGGAACATTCATCTCCATGGCAACCGAGAGGCCGCAGGGAGGAAGTGGACAAACAACCAGACACATGCATATGTCTTATTTGTTCATTATATTCACACACACACACACACACACACACACACACACACACACACACACACACACACACACACACACACACACACACACACACACACACACACGGGCCCGGCTGCTGTACGTACGTGGGCGTCGGGTTACCAGTGGCCTCGCAGGGCAGCTTGATGTCCTCTGGAGAAAACGCTGTGAACGACTTCGGCATCTCCATCATCACCGGCGGCTGAGACACTGAACACACACACACACACACACACACACACACACACACAGAGTGAAATTAAACACTAAACATACAACTGATGGTGCAGTAAATATCACTGATTAAGGTCATCAAACACGAGAGCACAAACACTTTCTCCATCAGCAGGTTCGTCTGTTGGTCATTTCTACTTTTCTCCAGCTTTTGAATCTTTTCCGGGCCGATTATAAAGTTATTAGAGGAGCTCAATTATTCATATAAAACGTTTTCTAATTTCTGGATCATATTCAACGAGCCAAACATGCAGCGAGAATAAAAGCGTGTAATGGACTTTGACCACATCCTGCTGCGCTCAGAGATGAGCTGTGAGTCTGCAGAGTTAAAACTCCATTCTGTTAAAGGAGCAGTTCGACATTATTCTTGACTTTCTTGGCAAGATTAAAGGCTTTATATGTGATTTTTTCATCCAGCAGATGTCGCCCGTGAGCACCAACATGAAACCAAAACAACTGGCGCTGCATTGTTGTGTTAGCATGCTAATGCTAGCGATCTTTATTATGCTGGTATCTTCACACTGCATGTAAATTTACCTGAAATGAGCGTGATCTAGAAACACAGTTAAGCAGTGAGTACAGTATGTTATTCTTCTTTTCTCTAGTCCCTCAATTAAACAACTTTTATACACGAGGGGAGGAGTCAGCCGGCCATCCCTGCGATGTAAACAAAGTGAAGATAGGACTCTGAAAACTCTGAAAACATCACAGACAGTGGGACTCGGGTGTTACACCCATTGTAGACAGTCATGACTCACAGAGTTATTTTCAGAGGATATACTGGATTTATACATTTAAGTGTGAAAAATCACATATAAATATAAATGTTTAATTCAATCAGTTTGAAGCTGGAGCCGGACACCTGCTGGATTAAAGGTATCGGATTGGATGAAATCTAAACATCAGGTTGTTAAAAAAAAAAGTGAATAAAGAGGATTATGTAATGGAAGAGAGATCAGGTTATCCCACACTGTAAAAAAATAAAAATGTCTTGTTTGGACTTAAAGTGCACAGGCTGCCTTACCTGGATTTGAGGTAAGTTGAGATACATTTTGATTTACTGTATTTCACATTTCTACTACATATATGACCCAATGTCAATACAGATTCATGTTTCCATGGGTGAAGTATCCCTTTAAATGTTTTCTCCAAAGGTTTCCCATTTCATAAAATAAAATAAAAAGTGTTGTTGTTCTGTGTGGCTGCAGCAGCGACAATGAGACGGACGGCCTCGACAGGTTTGTGGGAGAATGAAGCAGTCAAGGGCGATCACACACGTCTTCACTGTCACAACAAAGAGAGACACTTACTGTTATGCACTTGGTCTGTTTGTCCACACGAGAGCAAAGGAAAAGGAGAGCAGAGAGAACACTTAAGACAAGGACAGAGGATTCAATTACTGCAGGGAGATACGACGTCAGAGATGTTTCGGGCGAGATTTGAGGGCACATTCCTCCATTTACTTGATTATAAATAAACATTAAACAAAGATTTTGATCTTCCTCTCGATTTTTTTCCTGGCTCAGACACGATGGAGTCCCGGATCGTTTTACATCTTTCCCCTCTGCGTCCCCCTCTCCACCCTCCCCCACCCTCCACTTTTCTCCTCTTCCCTCTGCTAATGCCTTCGCCTTCCCCTCTCCTCCTCCTCTATCTCTTGTTTCCATCCCTCTCTTCCTCTCCTCTCCTCTCCTCTCCTCTCCTCTCCTCTCCTCTCCTCCTCCTCTCCTCTCCTCTATCTCTTGTTTCCATCCCTCTCTTCCTCTCCTCTCCTCTCCTCTCCTCCCCTCCTCCTCTCCACTCCTCTCCTATCTCTTGTTTCCATCCCTCTCTTCCTCTCCTCTCCTCCTCTCCACTCCTCTCCTATCTCTTGTTTCCATCCCTCTCTTCCTCTCCTCTCCTCTCCTCTCCTCCTCCTCTCCACTCCTCTCCTCTCCTCCTCTAGCTCTTGTTTCCATCCCTCTCTTCCTCTCTTGACCACGCCCAGAAGGTGAAAGTCTTTGCTTGAAGGTCAAGCTGGACCCCCCCCCTCCTCCCCCCCTCCTCTGGGACCATCAGTGGCTCAGCTTGCAGACCTTTGAACATAACCTCCAGGTCAGAGGTCATTTCAAAACCGTATTGTGAGGATAAGTGTGTTTGCTTTTGAGTTTAAGAGGAAATGTTTAAAAGCTCAGTTTGTCTTTGTGTAAAATCGAGTCCTTGCAGTCGATCTCAAAGATAAACGCTAATCATTCAAAGTCATCATGAAACAGGAAAAAGCAACACGCACACGTTTCCTGCTGCCACTCGACAAACGGAAAACTTTTGCAGCTAGATTTTATTTTTGTCCGTTTGCTGCTCTAACCCAGATTATAACACATTAAGTGTGAAGGAACAAGAAACTTCACAGAGTCTGTGTTAAGGTTTCCCTGGCTCTTGTCTTTCAGGAGGGTTTCTTCTACCCTAACTGTCCTCAACTTAAATAATACATTTAAATAATAATAATAATAATAATAATAATACATTTTATTTATAAGCGCTTTTCAAAAACTCAAAGACACTGTACAAATTGTTAAAAACAGAAAGAACAGCACAGTAAGGACAGACTAACAGACATTGCAACATTACACACAAATCATAAAGATAACAACAATAAAGGTAAAACAACAGAAAATAGAAAATACGTCACAATCATACATTAAAAGCTTGTTTGAAGAGGTGAGTTTTTTGAAAGTTGGGGGGAGGGTCGGTTCATGTAATTGTCTGTTTCAAGCTCCTTTCTGAATCTGTTTTGGACTCCTCGGCTGCTCTGTTAAGATCCCCTTACAATCTGTGTAGGAGTACCCTTTAGTTTCTGAACATTTTTGTAATTGTTTTTATGCAACCTAAAGATCTGTTTACCTATCAGTGTCTGTTTTAAGAAGCTTTAGAAATCAGTCTTCAGGTACCTCTCCAGCTGTAAGTTTCCTTCAGCTGCTAAACCTTTGGCTTTACTTGCATTATTTCTTGAGGCAGTTTAAAGATGCATTTTACTCTCTGCTTCAAGGTACTTCAAGTCTGTTTAAAGGGACCTTTTTTTGTTTGTTTCAGTCTCAGGTACCTTTTAGCCCTAATTAGTGAAACCCTCTTGGTGTGGTCCGAGTTTCCCTTGAGTATCTCTTATGTGTTCTGTGTTTTCAGGAGTCCATTTCCAGGTTCCCTTTTTTTGTCTTAATGATCCTTAACTACCGTTCACAAGTATCCTTGAGTTTCTGTTTTTTAGGTTACCTTAAGTGTCGGTTTCTAGGCACCCTTGAATATTTGTTTTGATGCACCCTTTTAGTGTCTGTTTTCAGGTTCCTCTCCAGCTGGAAAGTTTCCTTCAGCTGTCTAAACTCTTTTAGCTATACTTGCAGTTTTTTAAGGCAGTTTTAAAGCTGCACTACTCGCTGTTTCAAGGTACCTTTTGGTTCTTAATGGGTACCAGGACATCTACTTTTCACTGGTGCCCTTAAGTTTCAGTTTTTAGGTTTCCTTTATTGCCAGTCTTGGGCACCCTTAAGTATCTGTTTCTAGTCGACTGATTTATTCGGTTGTATATCATGGTTTCATGGTGCATCACTTTTTGCAGTTTTGGGTTTAAACCGTGAAGAAGAAGAGTCTGAACACTGAATGTTTCACACAGTGGAGGAGTATACTCACAGCCTTCGGGGATGTGGATGGCTCCCTGAGCGAGCGGAGGTGTTGAGGAGAGGAAGGACAGTGGGAGGAGGAGGAGGAGGACCAGGGGGAGGGAGGGGGAGCGCGGCCCCCTACAGCCCGTCCACCGATGCTGTGACACACACATCTCTCAATGTCCCATGAAAAGTGGCGCGAGACACCCACACACTCATCAACACATCAACACAAAAAAAACAAAAAAAACCCTCCCACCCTTTGCACACGACCAGACACACACACACACACACACTCCAGGGATGTCCCAGACCCTCGGGAGAGTGGAGACAAGTAAACTGAAGTGAGGGTCTCTGGACGAACACTGCTCCGGCTGTAGAGAGGAGAAGAGAGGAGAGGAGAGGAGAGGGGAGAGGAGAGGAGAGGAGGGGAGGGAGGGAGAGAGAGGGGAGAGGAGAGGAAGGAGAGGGGGAGAAGGGAGGAGGGAGAGAATAAAAGAGAAAGCAAAGACATCATTAATTTCATCAAACATAAATCATCCAGGAATAAGACAAATATTAATCAGCTGGGAGGAATTCAAATTAATATTGACCTACAAATTAAAAATTCACAATTAACTCACGAGTGTGTTTGATGTTTAAATTAACTCTAAAATTTAAGAGCAAATTTACTTCTGTCAGATTTAAGACAATGGACGCCTGTTAATGTGTGTGTGTGTGTGTGTGTGTCAGATAGTGATTAGGTCATCCTGATAAAGATGGAGGATCAGATCAAAGCAGCAGGAAACATCTTCTCCACTAATGACATTACAAAGAGAGATGTGTGTGTGTGTGTGTTTGTCTCGTTATATCGACTGCTGTCTCATTCATCTAAACATCTCCTCCTTTGTCCCCGGCTGCTGACTGAACGCTGACCCGTGACAGCAGGGGGGGGGGGGGGGGTGAAAGCAGATGGATGAGGCTTTCCCCCTCTTTTGTTCCTCCTCCAAAACCTCTGCGCTCCAACTTT